GTCATTCATTCATCTATTTAAAACCCTCCCACCCTTTCTTGTTTTCCATCTCCTTCGTACTTTAATGATATTTATTCAAACTCTGATTATCCTTCTACTTCTTCACTCACTTATCTAGGGAGCATTGTTTCAACTACAGGCAGTCGGAACGAACGAGGATGTCAAATCGAGAAAGACATTCATCAACCTGCAGCCAATCTGGAAATCTTCGTCACTCAGCCAGCTTCAACAACAAAATTCAGTCGGATTTTCAATACAAGCAACGTCAAGTCACTTCTTTTATACGGATCAGAAACTTGTTGGGTGGGCGGGTCACAAAGAATATTTCCAACAGCCTGTTGCAGACCCTTATCAACCACTGCCTTCGCTCTTTACTGAATATCAGATGGCCGGGCCGGAAAGAATCACCAACAAGAAACTATGGGAACAAACAAAACAAGAACCAATCGCCAACCAAGAGATATGCAGGAGAAAGTGGGGATGACACATCGGACACTCGCTGAGGAGGCCGCTGGGTGACGTCGCGCGTCAGACCACTGCTTGAGTGGAACCTGAAAGGGAAGAGGCGAGTGGGTTGTCAGTGCAAGGGTGACATGGAGGATTTCATGTGAAGAGGAGTTGAAAGAGTATGGACTAATATGTTCCTATGTTCCACTAGGAATCCAAGGGAACAATAATAATAATAACCACTCCACTTCATCTTTTAAGATTTGACCTAATTTATTTATTTATTGAATTGTCTACATATATACATATACTACCTTTGTTATTCTTATCACCTCCGTAAACCTTATTACCAATATTTTGTTATCATTATAATCATCGTTAATAATTTCTTTCAAAACATTTATCACATTACTATTATTTCATCCACAAAATCACTTGCTTTGGTTAAAATATTTTATATATAAATCTATGTAAATTAGACTAAAGCCTGAAGAAGATATAGTTAAAAAAATCAATCAGAGTTATTAAAATTAGGTTGAAGCAGAAACCGAAATGTTCAGAAATGTAGAAACGCAAAATGAATACTACTAGTACATTTGCAAGAAATAACGACTGACGCTCTTCCGGAAACTATGATTAGATATTATTACTTAAATGCAAACTTTATATTGCTCTTTTTTCAGGTTGCACGGGAAAAAAATTCCACCATTAGATCATCCGATTCGCAAAACAATCCAGCCCAATTAATATTCACACAATGATATAAATGAAGTTTTACGTTTGAGTCCTTCAATTTTCAGGATGCAACGAAGAGATCATCATCAGTAAATTTCCACTAGTGTTGTATCAGAGGCTCGGCGTGTTTACTTTAGGCGTTAGATAATCATGGGGCAAGCGAATGGAAATGTAAGTTTGCTGACTGATTCGAATAGCATCATCATCATCATTGAGATGATATTTCTTCATTAATTGACAACTCCTTGTTTCTTCCACGTGCTACTCTACGAAATCTTGCAATGACGTTGGCATGGTAAGCTAAACCCTTGAAACATATAAACAGACATAGTAGGATTAATGACTTCACAGCAATTCATAATTAACTACTGCTGGCAATGGATCCATCTATTATCATACAAACAATCATTGTTACACAATTTACTGATGTCGAGTCCCAAGAAGTTGAAATAGCCAACTCATCAGTCAACTTCATAGCATAATCAGACGTCAGTGAACTACGATTTCTAGACTGCCTATCTGAGAAGAGAGAAAACGGACATTTTAGTATATTCGTATTCCGGAAGGAAACCCACTGCTATGAATATTTAGACTTCAGATCATCACAACCCATCAGCGCGAAGATTTATGTTGTTTCAAGTCTTCTTAGACGAGCACGTTCTCTAAAAACGTATGAGAAGGAAAAAGAAGAAGAAAATACTAAACATTACTCAAACTCTAAGGCGAAATAACTACTCAAGGAACTTCATCAACAAAATCCAAGCAGATATCATGAACTAAAACGAAATCTGACCTGGTTACAACACCTATCTCCCCTCCACCATGAAGTGACAAAACCAAGTCGAATGGGATAAGCAAGTTCACTTCGCAAATACACACCTCTTTTATAATTGTACACAATGTTCAACTCCAACAATCTGCCAATTGACCAATTCCAAACAAAATGACACCAGACTGACGAACGATGATCAAGTTAGTAAACTTTGTTTTGGTATCATGACAGAAGTACTATTAACTTTGTCATTTGATTTATTGATCTTCATTGTTATTTCAACTTTCAATATATCCTTTTCACTTGATCTAAGTCAACATTTCATCTCTTCACTCTTTGTTATATATATGCTGAGATTTTGAAATTACAGTTTATTAACACTCTGATAAATCTATTAGCATTAAATAGTGAAACGTCAGTAAAAACAATATCATTCATTAGGAGTTACAGAAACCTTTATTATAATGTACATTTGTAAAGCTCTATAGCAAATTAACGTTAATTGAAAAAAAGATTTTTAGTGACGTCAATGTTGTTCCAAATTGTTGTACCTGTTTAGGTGAAATCACATTCTCCACCACTTGAAATGGAAAAACGCAAATTGTTGTGCATCACTTGTTAATATCTGAAACATGAATTACTTGGAGTGGAATGAGCACATTGAATTGAATTGAATGAATCACATGCTTCATTTTCGACAGGATACAATTTGAGTGGTGTATGTGACTTAAATAATGGAGTGAATTTGATTTGAATGACAGGAAATTTAACTGAATCATTATGCATATTCAACTGAATCTGTATCTTCGGTTTTCGTAAATTTTATCTTCTTCTTAGAGGTTTGTGAACGTTCCCTATTCAAGGAATTGTGATATTCTTTGCTCAGCAGACACGATAATGTAAACGTCGGCCTGCAAAGAAATACGAAAACTAAGGAAGTAGTTATAAAAGTTTTATATTAGTGCAGCAATTTAACTGTTTTGAGGATTTCATCATGAATTGAGGTGGGTTCAGCTGACCATTTATTTTCAATGGTTAGTACAGCGGTGATTCTTCACCACAATGAAGCCTTCGGTGAGATGAAGTGAATCTTTAACAGTGATGACATAAAGGTGTATTTTCGCGCAACTTACACCTTAGGCTCATCACTGGTGAAGGTTACGGATACAATATAAGAAGACAAGCAAAGGAATTGTGTAAACCAAATCAATTGCTGGGACTGTGACGCCGTATATGCAGGAGAAACCTGTAAGTCTGTCTGTCTGTTCTGTCTGTTTTCGACATAGTACTTTGCACATATGTACGGCAGTTCAAGTCGCAACACTCCATGTAGCACACCAAGAAAAGAAGAAAGTACAATAAAAGCAAAATAGAGACAGTAAGCAGAGGTGTGAGACAAAGGAATAGTAATAACCAAGAACAAATCGGTTTCATTGGAAATCATAAGTCACAAGGAATGGATGCATTTGCGCTAGCCATTGAGAACAATTTTGGGCCATGTCACCAATTGTTTCCAACCATTGGTTTTTACCGTCCTGAGAACCCCAACCAGTCAGGAAGTCTACACCTTCCTACGTGTCTTAGACTAACTGTTGTAGATTTCATTGACTGGTGCCGTGTTTTTGTTTGACCTCCGCTAGCTTTTTTCCAGCCTGACCCTATATCCGCTAACATTGCTTGTCGAGGGAGGCGATGACTAGGCATACGTAACAGATGTCCTAACCATGCCAGTCCGTGTAATTTCACAGCCTCGTCGATTGATTTCCCCTCCTCAACTAGCCTAGCATTCAACACCTAACCTCACTATTGCTCACCTTATTATACCACTTCACACGCGAGATAAAGCGCAGGCACCTATGATCAAAGACAGCTAGCTAGTCTTTTCATGTCTTCCACTCTCAGTGGCTAAGTCTCGCAGCCATAAAGGAGGACGGAGAGAACTGATGAGCAGTACACCCGCCTTTTGGTCGATAGTCGGATATCTCGTCTACGCCAGAGATGGCGTAAACTAGCAAATGCGAAACGAGCCCCCTGTATCCATGCTGAGATTTCATTAGAGATCAACCTGTTGGCATTGGCTGATGAAACTTCCCAAATAAGTGAAGCGATCAACGTGCTCTAGAACTTCACTCCTTATTTCTAATCTATGAGTCGTTGTAGTCCAGTCCTGTAACATCATCTTGCATTTGGTGGGAGCGAATCGCACGCCAAACATTCGTGGATTGCAGCTTAAGGTGTTTAGAAGACTCTGCAATTTTTCGGCGTCCTAGCCTAGAAGGACTATATCGTCTGCATATTCTAAGTCAACGAGACTATTCCCTGGTAGCAAGTCAATCCCTGAGTCGCTTAAGTCACTTAGGGTTAAGTCCATTAGTACATCTATGATGAAGTTGAATAAAAAAGGGGGTTGATGGACATCCTTGAGGAACACCACTAGTCGTCACCAGTTCAGATGACAACTCGCCGTAAGCTCTCACCTAGCTGTATGAGTACGAGTAGAATGACTTAATCAGTGCAATGTATTTTCTCGGCATTCCCTTTACAGCCAAGCAACTCCAGAGAACCTCTCTGTCGACTTTTGGTCTATTCTGAAATATTATGGGGCATTTAATTATCAAAACTTTTCAATTAGCACTTTTGAATTCTCACTTTGCCATCTATTACTTGAGCTTGTTTTCAGTGCTGTCTTATCAATAATTATCACCTTATGGCGTGGTGTTTCATTCGCCCATTAATCTTATCATTTCTATACCAGCTCTTAACATGTATGCCTCTCATGAACTACATTAAATATATATAACCAATTACGTTTATTGTACAGCTGGATTTATGTTCATGGGAAAGTTAACCATGGCTGAATGACTTGATTTGAGCTTCAACATTTTCCGGCGGAAATTCTTCATAAATTAACACGATCACTCAAATTCAAGGCGTTCAATAATTCTTCTACATCCAAGTCAGGATTCACGTTCACACAAATACTTGGAAAGAGGAAAGCTGATTCAAATGGTCCGAGAAACATGATTCTGAAGGCAATAATTAAACTTTATGAAGTAGTTTTATATATTTCAAAATTACTATTCAGTGTAATAAGTGGTGCCGGAGGATGCTTCAAAAATAATACAAGAGTATTCCCTGTAGTTAAATGCATCCAATTCTGAACCTTTATTATAATGTACATTTGTAAAGCTCTATAGCAAATTAACGTTATTTGAAAAAAAAGATTTTTATTTACGTCAATGTTGTTCCAAATTGTTGTAACTGTTTAGGTGAAATCACATTCTCCACCACTTGAAATGGAAAAACGCAAATTGTTGTGCATCACTTGTTAATATCTGAAACATGAATTACTTGGAGTGGAATGAGCACATTGAATTGAATTGAATGAATCACATGCTTCATTTTCGACAGGATACAATTTGAGTGGTGTATGTGACTTAAATAATGGAGTGAATTTGATTTGAATGACAGGAAATTTAACTGAATCATTATGCATATTCAACTGAATCTCTATCTTTGGTTTTTTAAATTTTATCTGTTTACCATATAGGTTGTAAGGGAATAAAAATAAATATACAATAATCTTAGCGAAACATCGTCGACAAAATAAAGCTGAGTAACTTACGAAAAATTCAAAGTTAACATATTATATTTGGATTTATACATTGCGTGAAGCTTTCTTTGTACAATTTTATGTAAAATTCATTTCAGCACATCCCGTGACCATTCAAATATCTGTAGCTTTTATAAAAAGATATTTAAAATATGAAGATAAGGAGGGATCGTCACCTGTTGTTGAGAGTTGGATTAGTACAGCGGTGATTCTTCCCTGCGAGAAACATCAGGTGAGATAAAGCGAATCTTTAACAATCATGACGTAAGTGTGTACTCTCGCGCAACTAACACCTCACGCTCATTACTGGTGAAAGTTAAGGATATAACATTAGTAGACATCCAACATAATTGTATGCACCAAATCAATTGTTGGGACTGTGTCGCCGTATATGCAGGAGAAACCTTCAATTAGGTAAATAACAGACTGAAAGAGTTATAACAATGACGAATCAGACAAAGCAGGGATTGCACTGCACTCGATAAAAATGGGATATAATATCCACTTTTGATAGGACTAATGTTCTACAGAAAATATTTGGTTCGTATAATGCGAGAATGACAGCAGAAGTCCTACATATTCGGGTCAATCTCGACATTCTGAAGAGACGTGAAAGTGTCATATTAGCTGAAAAGAATATTCTCTGCTCACTTTTCCTTCGTCTTCTACCCCGTTATTTATTGAGAAAAACCACAGAAGTGAATTTACTAAGAAACACTTTTGTTATCAGTGTATTTATGAGTGTGGGTATTCTACGACGATGAAATGCTATCGAGATTTTACCTCGTTGTTCCTGGCTAATACAGTTTCACGTTCAATCAGCTGATACCCCATTATTTAAACTGATCTTGGGTTTTATCCAGCATCCATCAAATGAATTCTTAACCTTTTAGGAAACTTACGAAATAGTGCAGCGAATAATCGGGGGAAATCCACTATTTAACATTTAAACAGCTTGACATTGAAGACAGCCAATGATAGTTCACTTTTGAAATTGTGTTACACTTTGTTCTTCTTACAATTTTTACTGAAAAAATTTCCTAGTCTCATCTAGTCATCTCATTTTGTACTATACATTCTAATGCAATTAAATCACAAAATTGTAGCACTGATATCTGATGTTTACATACTGCTGTAGTTACTGAGAAACTTTGTCACTGACTGTTTGTTTCACTTGTTATTTCATTAAAATTTTCGACGACAGTTAGATACAAAACTTTGGAAAACACCATAACTGAGATAACTAAATTGTTAAACGGATGTCTAAGCGAGTGAGAAAAACACTCCACGAAGCTACTTTCTACATGGGAGTTTATTAAGCTAACAGTAAATCCACAGTGTGAATTATGTTTTCACCAAATGAAAAATACTCAAACAAGCCTCGGTGAACTAGAAAGTGTTGTGTAGCAAGGAAAGCTACCTCAAACGTTTCTCAGCTTACAACACTTCTGGCGTAGAAGTGAAATCCGATTACCCACCAAAAGGCTGATCAGTAGTTCGCTCCGTCCTCCTTTAAAACTCTATGAAATGGCCTCTGAGAGTCGAAGGTATGAAAATGCCGTCTCTTTTTGATCATCGATTTCTCCTTTCTGTCTCCCATGTTAGTTGGTATGATAGGCTGAGTAATATTGAGGTATGGCGTCGGATGTTAGGCAAAGGTGGTGGAAGAGTTGATTGGTGAATTTGTGAAGCTATTAGAATGAGATGGTGAAAACACGTGATGCGCAGTGTTATCTGACATAGGATCAGGTTGAAAAAGATGCAGTGGTAGTCTATTCAGAATTGAAATCAGTAAATGAAATATCTGATAGCATGTCTGAGACGCATAGGAAGTTTGAGGCTTCCTGATCAGGTCTGCAGGATTTCAAAAACCAGCAGCTAGAGAGTTGTTCAGAAGGCTAAAAATTTCTCGCACTGGTGTGTGAGAATTCACTTTTCGTCATTTACCATATCCACTTCACCACAATGTTCTTCCATAATACTATTTCTCTCTCCCTCAAAGTTCTGGTAATTATAATTTCATTGTGCATAACATTTATTTTGATAACTCAAACAACTTTCTTACTTCATCTTTATAGTTCCATTATATTTCATCTCATCGTTATTTGACTGGTTATAATATTTTCCATATTCCCGGTAGGAGTGACGAGTCGTTCCAGTTGTATGTTTTTGATGTAGATTTTATTCGTGAAAAATTCCGATTGTGACATAAAAAAATCAAAACAAGTGATTCAGAGAAGAGACTCTTTTCAGTGAATTCATTATGCAGGCGTACGATCGTATATTTATTATTTTTTTTAAGAAATTATATCCTGTGAGTGAACTGAACAATAGGCGTGAATGCAATCAAAACGTTTGTGCTAATAATCATAGTTAAATGTTAAGTGGTAAAACAATTAATGTGATATACAGAATAAATCATAGGATGGATAGAACTTCGAAAGGGTGTGCAATTATAGGATTAGTAGACAAATTGAATAAAATAAAAAAGTTACGCATATTTGTATGAAGTTTGATAGCATAGAATTTAACGTTCTAAAAAAAGAATTGATTTAGAATGATAAACAGAACAATGCAATAAGACCGTGGAGATTTCAAAGTGAGAATATTCATAGTGACAATTGAGGTAATAGAGGAATAATATACTAATTGAATAGACAAAGCGAAAAATATTGTTAGAGCCAAAATATGATAAGGGATTACCATACTTTAGCATACAGGGATTAAGACCATGACAGCTGGAGGAATTGAACGAACTATTTTGTATACAGAGATCCGACTTTTCTGTTTCGATAGCCGAAGCTTCAGCAATACAGATGAGTTGGGCACGTAGTGATTTCGGCAGATTACTTTTCACCCTGTAGATGACTTTATAGGCAGAGGCTATAGTGACAGTGTGATAATTATCGAACAAACGTTCAATGATCACTTTTATTATTGCTCCACTTCCAACTCTTCGTAACCATGCCGGATGGAGTTCCTGCACCCTCTTGGGCAAAACTCGAGTCGAACGACCGGTATATCCGGCTCTACACGAGCAAGTAATTTAGTAAACGCACACTGAGTTGGTTAACTGCGGGATCTTGTCATTCAGTTAATTGCACAGTAACGGTCAACTGGAAATCGCTATTCTCAACAATGCAGCAGGGAATGTCTTATTCAGGGACTTTGAAATCCTTTCTTTAATGCTGTTGAAAGGAAAGCCAGTGAATAAGTCCAAGCTCATGTACAGTATTTCATAGGATTTGACTGCATATTCTTGTCTGTAAAACGCGACTGCAGTCCAGTTTCTATTAAGATTTTTCCTAAACGTTTAAACTCATTCTGCACAGTATCTGGAGTATATATGCGCGGAATGCGAACGGCAAGTGACCAGATCAGGTTTTGTCCATGACCCATTGGCATCATGAAAGCTTTCCATTTACTGATATCTTCATAGTTCCATCGGTCAACCTTGATAAACTCGATTCAAGGAAATGAGTACTGGACTGGTTTTCCATTTCCAGTATGAATTGTATGGCTAGATGGCAACCATTACATGCCATTAAGTGATTGAATTGTAGTCAATATTACAAATAATAAAGGCGTCATCTACATCGAATGAACTCGGCGGCCTGTTTGAATATTTTTGGGCTACCACATTCCATGTACATTTTGCATCTATTTACTCGTATTTTATTGGTATTTACATATCACATTATGCATTCTAATCGTATTATCTACTCCCGGGATTTTATAAAACGTTTTAAACACAAAAACTTTCATATTTGCCATAAACTCAAGAAAAAGCACCATGGAGGTTGGCAGCGTGCCTTAAAATCTACACCCATACATCACATCATTGTTCCAGTTATCATTATTACCAACTACCGGTCCCTGCCTAATAAAATTCTGGATTTTCAGTCCTGTTGTCTTCTAGTACCTACCACAATACTGGTATTGTCACTCTACGAAAAACCTGGCTCCATGACTCATACGATGGCAATATTGTGTCTCTAAACAATTTTAATGTTTTTCGACAAGACCGTGTTTGTTCCAAGAAAAAATGTGGTGGAGGTGTTGCAACTTTTATTCACTCAAAATGGTCCATTTCTAACAAAGTTTGTTTCAAATTCTCGAATGACTTCATTGATTGCATCACTGTGAGATGTCGCCCGAAACACCTGTCAAAATACAAATTCATTTATATTTCTAATGTTTATGTCTCTCCTGGCTGTACCATATTGGATTTATCTATGTTCGCCGATGAATTCACCGCTTTTGCTGCAGCTTGTTTCGAGAACTCTTTATCAATAGTAACTGGCGACTTCAATGGAAGCGATTGCTCCTTCCTTATATCACTTGGTCATGACAATATTGTTAACTTTGCCACCCGTCTTGGTAAAAAACTGGATCTAGTATTCATCAATGATGTTGGTATATATGAAGCTCGCAAACGTGCTCCTCTACTTAATTCTGACCACTGCATCATACGTGCTGCCTAAAATATATTCCAAATCACACAAAGGTGTCCTCTCTCACCTCTACAGTAAAGTTCAACGGAGATGCTACTCAAAAGACAACCTAGACAAGCTCAGATGCATGTTGAAAGACACTAACTGGGACTTATTTACAGAACAAACATTAGATGAAACAATCACAAACACTACCGATTATCTTAAATTCTGTTTCGAAATATGTTGTCCTAAAGAAACATTATTCATTCGATTTGATCGCTTATCTTCGCCATATCTCAAAAAGCTACGTAGAAATAAAGAACTGTTGTTCAAAACTAATGATAAGCCTGGTGTAAAAAAGTTAAACATGCTGATAAAACTGGAAATAAAAAGACTAAGTGTTTTATATAATCAAAGATTTTTGTCATGTAAAACCCCTTCTAATTT